TATTCAGGCTTTTCATATTTTAAAATATTTCTTCGCAACTTTCATAAACATGTAGCAATAAGCCATACGAAGAGAGTGTATGTGAAAATTAGTTTGTAATATGAGCAGTGTTGCCGGGAAATCTGCAATTTTGCATGAGTCACTTTTTATGCTATTTTGCCTGTAAAAGGGTTAATTATTATTGGATTTTCATAAGAGTGACACCATTTGATGCTTAGTGTCAATTTTGACTAGGTCAAACCAATTTTCAATGTCACCGGAAATGACGTAATTTGGGCAAAAACTGTATTTATAGCCTTCGAAACAAATAATTTATTCAAATGAGTCGTATTTGTTATTTGTTAAAAATTTTGATATTTGATTCTAATCAACTATTAGAATGAACCCATACGATCATATAGATATCACAAAATGGTATCTAACTTGTTCAGTTGCGGAGAAATAGGCGATTTTCAACAGGTCACTTTTCAAGGTTTTTGGTCCATAAAAGTGTCAATTATTATTCGATTTTCATAAGATTTTCACTGCGTGATACCTCATGTCATTTACGATTTCATACAAGTAATTTAACATTTTCATTGTCACCGGAAGTAACGTCATTTTGGCAAAAACTGTATTTTTAGCTTTCAAAACAGATATTTTATTCAAATGAGTTTGACTTGTAATGATTTAAAAATTATGATATTTGATTCCACTCAGCAAATAGATTAAAACAATACGATCATACAGATACCAAAAAATGGTTTCTAACTTGTACGGTGGCGGAGAAATAGACGATTTTCTACAAGTCACTTTTCAAGGTTTTTGGTCTATAAAAGTGGCAATCATTATTCGATTTACATAAAATTTTCACCATGTGATGCCTTATGCCATTTCTGATTTCATAAAACTAATTGAACATTTTCATTATCACTGGAAGTACTGTACACTTACGTGTAACAAACGTATTAAATGAATTGGTATTGCTGGATTTGGTTGACTCTGCGTCCATTTTATTTGATGTGTGCAATGCTTATTTGGAAACCTGTTTAACGGTTTCATTGGTACCGGAAGTGACATAAGTTCAAGGCTAACTTGACACTGTAAGTTGGATACACGAAAGTAATTGTAGGTGAAATAATATATCGTCATGGATGTTTCTTTCACTGACAAGGAAACTGAATACTATAATATTAATAAATAACATAAATAATATTTCTATCTAAAACACACAAATTAACGAGGAACTGGAATTTATTATGAACAGGGGCGACAATAAATGAAATGAAATGAAATGGTGTTTAACGTCCTACAGATGTAATAATTAGCTTTTATTAAAACTATTCCGACAGATTATCGACTATGTGTGCCAACATGATCGAATGGATGAAAGTTTTTCTATGACAAACAGTTTGTGCCAGATTTTGGTTTTCTAATTTTGTCATTCGAGGGAAAGGGGTAGTTGTAAAGGGGGGGGGGGTAACTCCTCAGGGGCATTCCAATCAACGTTCAAAAATTTCGGAACTAACATATGGTTCAATTTTATTTAAATAAATCGCTTGCGCGTAGGGATCTTTGGCAGCGGGAGGAAACCGGAGGACCCCGAGAAAACCCACGAGGTTGGACAGGCGACCCTACACCTTGTCACGTACAACGGGGAATTCGAAACCACACCAGTCGACTCAATGACGGGCCTTATGATACAGCCAATGATTTTAATAATCTTAGATATAGAAGCTTGCTGATTATTCCTTATCACGGAAATGAAATGAAATGAACTGGGGTTTAACGTCCTACTATTTTCCTCTGACTGGGTTAATGAAGACGGAATTGTGCCCGGGCATCGGCACTATGGCCGACTCTTATACCGAATTCCAATTGCCAATGGATCTTTTACGTGTACGCCAATGTATACACCCGTTCCTCGATTTTTCGTCCCATTCGAACGACTAGACAGCTGTCCTTGTCAGGCCCTCTATCCTGCACCACTGACAAGTGGAAACCACGTCGGAATGTAATCACGGAAATCACACAATGTTATAAACTTCTATTGTAAATTTCAGAACATATTGTTCATTTATTCCAATGCTAATTTTGTTGAATCCAATATCTTGGGTTTTGTTATTTGTGTTATATATTGGATGTTGTTAAGAGAATAGTATTTAATCATTATATTCTAGATAGTTCTTCTACAGTATTGACTTCCGGTTGGAAGAAGGTACCGGGAAACAAAAAGCTTCAAGGGTTAAAGGTGAAGAGTTATCACGCCAGAGGCCCATTACAGTGTGGTGATAAATGTGTGACACCTACTGAAGATTTACCGTGTGGTTGTGTAGAATATAGTTAACATGAATTAACTAAACAATGTTTAGTTGTTGATGAAAGTGAATTAACACCATTGTTACAGCTACTGATTGGAGAACATGGCAACTGATGTAAATAGAAAATGTTTATGGCAGCAGATACGCAGATCGATTAATATGATAACTTACGTCAAATCCTCTCCATTCGCATTAGAACTGAATTCCTAATAACAGGAAGTGCACACACCTGGTGTATGTCCTACTTTGAAAACCGCAATTAACAGGTGATAATAAATGGTATTAAGTCTGATCCAGTAATGGACTACCCGAAGGATCAGTCCTAGGTCCAGTGTTGTTCTTGCTCTACTCATCATTTGTGGCTAACATTACATCCCAACCCGGCATCGATCACCTTCCATACATTGATGATACACCACTCATGTCATCATTCAAGACAAGTCAGATCACCCCTGCTCTGAACACCATAACCTTATGTTCTCGGGATATAAACTAATCATTTTGGGAACAAAGAAACAATTACAGGGAGTACCTGAAACAAGTGTAACCACTCGACATTCCATCATTGGAGTTTCTTGTACCGTTAAGGATCTTGGTGTGGTCGTTCATTCATGTCTTACCGTAGAGACTCGGGTTAATCATCTGTGTAGATCGTGTTACTTCTAGTTGTAACGTTGTGTACATGCATATGTGTATTGCTCTTAAAGGCGCTTTGGGTGGATTTGGCGCTTATTATTATTTTTAATATTGTCAGTGATGCAGGGCGGAGGGTCTGGCAAGGAACGGTGTTTAATCGTTCGGATGGGATGATAAACCTTGACAGTTGGAATTCGAAATAGCAGATGATTGGTGCATTTAACCAGGATTGAACAGACTCTTGGTAACGCAAATAAGCCATGGCACTTATATGCAAAAACGATCTACTGACCATTGTCCGGCGTTTTATGAATTCAGAAAGGGCATGCCTAAATGAAAAAGTATTTTCTGTACTTCTGTTAAGGTACATCTGTACGCTATAGGCCTACTTTCGTCTGGGTGAAAAAAAAAGGTATTTTCTGACGAGAGTTACAAATGTGTTGTTTCCCCGCGTCTTGTAACATTTGTGAAATTTCAGTTATTGTTTACAAAACTCGACAACCAATCGCTATTTATATACAAATAATGAAAGTAAAATTTATTTATTTATTTTTTCAAAAACGCATTTTTAGCCCCAAAAATCAATTTCTTGCAACCGCAATGTAACGCCTCTTCCATACGTGCTAGGTATTAATATTCTACACATCCTGGCAATTTTTTTAATTTTGTGGCCCAGGGCAACAGTGTCCGCTAATCTAACCTAGTTTGGGGCCGTGGCATTTTGGGCGTGTCTGTTATATGCAGTGCGGACTGGGCCCACCTGTCCACCTGAAAGTGGGCCTAAGCCTATAAATAAAAAAGAAAAAAGAAAAAGAAAAAAGGAAAAGAGAAAGAAAGGGGGGGGGGAGAAAAGAAAGAAGGAAGGAGAGGACAGGACACAGGACAGGAGAAAGAAAATATAGGAAAAAAATGACTGACAAACAACACAAAAAAAGAAGTGTACTACAAGGAAAGAACTTTATGAGTTTGACCTCATTATACCGAGAACCGTGTAATTCATCTTTTGTTTTTGACACTGAAGAGAATTCTCAAATTCATCTAATGATAGTGCTGTAGGTCATTCTGTTATCTAATTGTATCAGGAAATCAAAAATTTGCCTTGTTCTGCTTTGGTCTGAAATGCTTGGAAAATGGGTTTGCGGTTGTCAGTTTTCAAAATTTTCCTGGAACCCCCCCCCCCCCCCAGACCTCCCTGGGACGCTCGCGCGCCTTCGGGGCGCTCGTGACACGGCGCGTACTTGTGTGGGCCTTGGTCAATGACCTGACAGGTGGGCCTTTGGACCACCAGTCCGGCACTGGTTATATCTAACCCACCGCACAAACTGTCTGGCAGTGGTCATTCATAATAACAGATTTCAGCTAATCTAGCCTAGTTGTGGTATGGAAATTGGATAAGTCTTGTCAGGGATACTCCATCACTACATATGTTTGGCAATTACATAGCTCTGTCAGGGCCGGGTACCCCACCACTAAAAATGTCTGTCAGAGTGTTTTTGTAGTACCTGGAGATTTAAGGTACACTGCTGTACGATTTTCATGTGGTACACTTTTGAGTTAATCTAGTCCACTAGAATTCACACGCAGAATCACAACCCTCACAGCAACACCCACCATCAGATACCCGGCAGACTTGCATTCTAATGATACCAGATTATGTATTGGTACACCCCACCCAGCCATCGCCCCCGCTCTATAAAACACACTAGTTTAATTTAGTAACCAATATTACGATAGTGACTTAAGCTATCGTTGGCATTTTAGCGCTATATAAATGATGAATAGCAGAAGTAGTACTAGCAGCCGACCGACGAGTAGTGGTTATAGAATTATGTCATGAATTCCGTTTTGTACATTTGGGGATAATTTTAATTGATTGTATTCGGGATGATAAAAGGCTGTAGCTAACACATCATATGTACTAGGACTACATCTTTTGGTAGTTTAAGCTTGTGTTTTTTTGGGGGGGAATGTTTTTTCTAAAGTGAGAATAAAATAAGTCTTAACATTAAATTATCTCCCCTTGGCATAGAAACTCTTTTTATATTAGAGGTCAAATGTGACGTTCTAAGTAATCAATATGGCGTCGCTTCAGCAGGAAGACATCAATTTTAGAATGCAATTTTCATCTTTTTTGTGTTATTATTGCGGTAATTGTTTTATGGGTAGGTTAATTTGATAGTTAAACATACATAAATTTCAAATATATATACATCGCCCGATAGTATTCTACATTTTATCGAATAAACGATCTATATTTGTCTCGATTCATCAACTTTTTTTTTACTCATTTTTTTGTTGTGTTGATTCTTTCACAATAATGCTATTATAATTAGCATTTCCATAAATCAGCGCTTTCACAATGCAGTCTCAGTAAATTCAGACTGTGTTTGTATTCCATAATTTATTTTTTAATGGTTTTGTGGTGAAATATTCGAATGAATTTAGTATTTCTGCAAAATATTCTTGACTTTTTATTGAAATTTGTTTATATCGGGATTACCTCCCTTTTATACCAAACCTTTGTACAAGTGCATATTATGTAGGGTTTTTTTCTATTGTTTTAAAAGCCCACAAAGCATGATCACATTCTCAATAGTTTACAAATACAATATGTGTTCTTAAATATACGGACTAACTGTATAACTTAACTGTTATTAAAGAGGCAGTATGTAATTTAGATTCGGATAAAGACTAAGTTTGTAAGTAAGAGCAGGTCGTTCTCGCTATGCTATAATAGTTTAAAAATAGATAATACCAAATGAGTATCTTGAAAATTTCCTTTAAACATGCATTTATTCTGAACAAAGTTATCAGTGTTTGTAGTTTTGACAGGGAGTAGGTCGTTTCATCCCACTACCTGTTTATCTTGGGATGTGGATGTTCCATCCCAAATTTACATGGGTCGTTATATCCCACTGATATCGGGTCATTTCATCCCACAGATTAAAAAAAAAATGGGTATTACATGAATTTTTAATATTTAATATTTTATTTAAACATTAATAACAATATGTCAATGCAATTGAGAGAATATTCCTCGAAACACGACCACGTGGACATGTAAATAAATCAGTAAGTATGTGTCCATATAAATTTCCTGCCAACTTAAGGAAGCCACTTGTTGTTATGGATTGTTCCGAATATCTTTTCATTTATCTTACAGTATGTTTTTCTACAATTTCGGAAATTGAACCCCTCATCAATCATCTGCCATTGGGTGTCAATTAACTCTACATGTACTTCTACTTTTAGTATTGGAATCAGTATTTAAAAGCTGAATGATACCTGCTCCCATAGATCTCGAATTCAGACTTCTTTGCCATACTGAAATAAATTAATGTCATATTAATGAATGTCAACTTGTAAATATTAAGGAATGTCATCATGTAAATAATATTGAATGTCATCATGTAATAAGAATATTTAAATAAACTATTAACGAATGTAAGTGGTTAAATTAACTCATCTTCACAGTCATTACCTTAAGAACAAAAGATTACAATACTGTATGTAAAAAAAATGCATAAATAAGAGATTAAAATATGCATATACTACCTCTTTTTAATCTTAGGGGGGTTGGATGGCTGAATGGTTAGCAAGTGCACGCTGTATCATAAAGCCTGTCATTGAGTCAACTGGAGTGGTTTCGAATCCACGGTTGTACGTGACAAGGAGTAGGGTCGCCTGTCCAACCTCGTGGGTTTTCTCCGGGTCCTCTGGTTTCCTCCCACTGCTAAAGACCCCTACAGACAAGCAAATTATTGAAATAAAATTAAACCATATGTTAGTCCCAAAATGACCTAATTTGTGTCCAGTGGACGTTAAACTCCATTGCTTTCTCTCTCTCTCTTTATAATCTTCAGTTATCCTTCTCGTCATCATGACGGAGCATAGTGGCACCTGTTTCATGCAGTCTCTTTTTTATCAAAAAACCATGACAAGATGTGTGGATTGTTTGTAAATTATCATAACCACGGTTCTCTCTTCTCCATTTTTTAAATTAAATCATTAAATGGCCGAACTGACTTACTGTTCTTCTAATCTAGTTGAAATCTCGAGCATCCGATGGCATCAAGGGTTGATCATGGTCTTGTCATTTTAATAAATGTCTAATCAATAATTTATATAACATTTCAGACCTAAAAAAGACCTGCAATAGGCAGATTTAACTCTTGAATAATGCATGTTTAGTACTCTTCATAGCTCAATAAAATGATGGACTATGCAAAGCTTTCAATAATGAATTTTGTTTGATGTAATTGTGGAGAATTTTCTATTCTCCTTTTCCCCCTCTAGCCTCAAACAATCAAGCTTTTAGTTGAGGTACATGTATTATTTGTGTGAGAACATTTCACGTGAAAGGGGAGTATTAATATACATGTAGTTTTCATATTTATTAATCACCAAAGTGGAGTACTGTAAATGACGATTAACCCATGAAAATTTGAGCACCAGAGACACAGAAAATTATTGGCTGGAGCCCTTTAGGGTGGGGGTCAGTTGTCCGAGGCTAGTGTGATGAAAGTGGGTGTGTAGTTTCATTACATCAGTAGCTTGACTAAGTTTGATAATGAGCAAACTAAGTATCGATAAGCAATTTGATTGGTCTTGACTTATGTAGATGTTCATTAGGTGAATGTTTGATGTTCATTGGTTGATGCTTTGGGACAAGATAAATGTACATGAAGCTTTGATTCTAACTGATGGAGAGTGATGAAACTTAGTGTATAGTTTCACTACCAGGTACTTGACTGAGTTATATCATGAACATTTTATGCTTAGATAATAAGTTTGACTGCTCAATACTTTTGGGATTTTGACAGGAGACATGAGCCTCACTGTTTAAAATGACTTTTATTTGATTGTATATATTTACAGATATTGTTGATATGCCTCATTATGGCTGAAGATAAAGAAATACAGTCTACAGATGAGCCTGTGGGCCTTAATCTCAGTGCTGTTGCTAGGTTGTTAATGACATCATCAACAACAGTGAGAACGACAGACGGGGAAGATGAAGAACGGAATGAAAACCGTCCAAATTCTCCACCACCTCCAGTAACCTCAGCAACACCACCGTTAACAAATGTAATCACAGCAGCTACTACATCTACAGCAACAGTAACCTCAGTACCAGATGAAGCACCAGATCGTCTTAATGAAGGACAAACATCAGATGCCGAGACTGATATTGTTGTTGATGATTGTCAATCACCAACTGATCTGACCATATTACAGTCAGATCTCTCACCAGACAGCTATGATTATACACCACTGGGCTATACAACATCCGGCGGATATTATAAATGCAGATTCTGTAGCTTTATGACCATGACTTACACTCATCTTCAACTGCACATGCCTAAACATGGCGGTAAGAATTATACATGTATGTCCACCAAACTTTCATTCATTCTTCTGTCTTGTTATTAGTAGTTTAGTTCATTCATGATTTGGGGGGTTGGGTTGTCGAATGGTATAATGCATGCACTTTAGATCATAGAGTCTGTCATTGAGTCAAGTGGTTTGGTTTCTGTTCCCAGCTTGTATAGTAGGCTAATTGCAGGAGAACAACACTATGTGACAAGGAATAGGGTCGTCTGTCCAACCTCATGGGGTTTTTCTGGGTCCACATTTCTTCCCACTGCTAAAAACCAGCAAGTTAAATATTGATAAAAAATTAGACCTTGTTGGTCCCAGAATTACTTGGTTTGTGTTCAAGTGGACGTTCAACTCCATTTCTTTCTCTCATTCATGGTTTAAGAAAGGGACATTTAATCCTCTAGTTTACACCATGCTCTTCAGTGCATGTGCAGGTTAATGGAAGGACATAGAATCATGGTGGGGGGTGGATGGCCAAATGGTTAGCACGTGCGTACTGTATATGTATTATATAATAAGGCCTGTCATTGAGTCAACTGGCGTGGTTTCGAATCCCCGGTTATACGTGACAAGGAGTAGGGTCGTCTGTCCAACCTCTTGGGTTTTTCTCCGGTTTCCCCCCAACTGCTAAAGACCCCTACCCGCAAGCGAATTATTGAATTAAAATTGAACCATGTAGTACCGAAAGAACTAGTTTGTGTTGAGTGGACGTTAAACCCCATTTCTCTCTATCTCTCTAGAATCATGGTGGGATTTTTTTAAAAATTAATGTGCACCCTTATTTCAGTCTCAACTACAGTTTGTAAAAATAGCTTAAAATTCTAACATGTATGTGTTTGTAATTAACACAGGAGCCACAGTGGCTCTGTAATGTGTTAGTCCCAGTGTTAGTAGAGAAAGTACATGTACCTCTGGATTTTTTTAGTGGTTTCCCCTTGTCAGTACTGCATTACGTAGTGCCTGGCAAGGAACTGTGTCTAGTCTTTTGAATGTGAAAGAAAACCGACGTCCAATTTTCACATCGGCATGCACATAAAAATACCATTGGCAGTTAGAAAAGTAGAGGTAAATGCAATCTGATTAAAATACAGATCTATATTTCATTTCGTTTTTTATACGCCCACATTGAAATGTGGTCGTATATTGTCATGGCCCCGTCCGCCGGTCGGTCCGGCGTCCACAAGCAATTTCCGATAATTACTGCCAGAGTTCTGGCTCTTGATCACTTCAAAAAAATCTTGTGGTCTCTCTAGAGGCTAAAGTTAATATCCGATGGACTTTAAATTTATATACAGTGTTTAAGGCCATCAGGCGAAGAAGCCTATTGATTTTCAGCAATTTCCGATATTTACTGCCAGAGTTATGGCCCTTGATCCCTTCAAAAAATCTTGTGGACGCTCTCGAGTCCAAAGTTAATATCCGATTGACTTTAAATTTATACACAGTGTTTAAGGTCATGAGACAAAGAAGCCTATTGATTTTCAGCGATTTCCGATAATTACTGCCAGAGTTATGGCCCTTGATCACTTCAAAAAATCTTGTGGACGCTCTAGAGGCCAAAGTTAATATCCGATTGACTTTAAATTTATACACAGTGTTTAAGGTCATGAGACAAAGAAGCCTATTGATTTTCAGCGATTTCCGATAATTACTGCCAGAGTTCTGGCTCTTGATCACTTCAAAAAAAATTTGTGGACTCTCTAGAGGCCAAAGTTAATATCCTATTGACTTTAAATTTATACACAGTGCTTAAGGTCATGAGACGAAAAATCCTATTGATTTTCAGCAATTTACGATAATTACTGCCAGAGTTATGGCCCTTGATCACTTTGAAAAATCTTGTGGACGCTCTTAGAGTCTAAAGTTAATATCCGATTGACTTTAAATTTATACACAGTGATTAAGGTCATGAGACAAAGAAGTCTATTCATTTTCATTGATTTTCGATAATTACTGCCAGAGTTATGGCCCTTGATCACTTCAAAAAACCTTGTGGATGCTCTAAAGGCTAAAGTTAATATCTGATTGACTATAAATTTATACACAGTGTTTGAGGTCACGAGGCGAAGAATCCTATTGATTTTCAAAGATTTCTGATAATTACTGCCAAAGTTATGGCCCTTGATCACTTTGAAAAATCTTGTGGACGCTCTAGAGGCCAAAGTTAATATCCGATTGACTTCAGATTGATACACAGAGTTTAAGATCTTGAGACGAACAAGTATATTGATTTTCAATGAATTTTTATGACTTGGAACAGCTAAATCCATGATACAGTATTAAAAGTTTTGTATACAAAACGTTAGCATGGTTTTCTGAGTTTTTGCTCTTAATCAGATTTTAGTGTATTATAAATGTTTCATTACCGAAAAAAGTAAAAATATGCGACAACTCTTGTTGACTGCCCGGACGATTTAGCTGCTTTGGGCGTATGTTTCGTTGCCTGGCAACCTATCTTTTATGCTTTTGATGGCCTACTCTACATGAAGATCTGACCATTTGTAGTGGAAGGTTGCGTCAGGTGTCATACAGGCACCTCACCCCAAAAACTTGCCGTAACAGTCCGCTTTATTGGCTAATCCCTCACGCCATCCAGAACGCAGATGATATAACAACCCTTCCAGATACTAGTTTAGTAAAGGCAATGAAAACGAAATTTTGAACTATAAGAAACGAAACGAAATAGGACCTGTGTTTTAATTAGATTGAAGGAAAATTTCCTGACAAAATTGTTCAGACAAAATTTCCCTCATGATCTTTATGATTTAATACTTTTATAGTTCATTTCATTGATGTTAATGATATAATTTTGGTGTATTTTAGGTCATAAAGCCCTCAAGTGTCCAATGTGTGATTATACCACTAATGATAAAAGTAATTTTCGGCGACATAAAAGACTTCACAATCGCTCAAATCCTGCTACAGTGTTACGGTGTGGTAAATGTGAGTTTACGACGGTGTTACCACGTAAAATACGTGAACATTATTGTCATGAACATAATGAGGATTATGGACCCATCATGCCTCAGATAGCTACAAGCGCTTCTATAGTTATACCCACATATCAAGAAAATCACTTTAATGGCTCGCGACATATTGACATTGCACAAGGTCATTGCTCTTCAACTGGTCTAGGTCAAGGTCACTGTACTGTGTCTGTTGGTTCGTCAGGTATCCACTCTCTGTTGACCTCGGGACAGGGACCTTCGGTACAATTTGCACGTGCCAATCCCATAATGCCAAATTGTGTTAATCAATATTCCTACGATTCGCCCAGTCATCGTGTTCACGAAGACCGAACCATAGCTTCAGATTATTTACGTTCGATTGTCTCTAATATTATCCCGACCCCACGTGTTCCCGCCACCAGTACCATCACATCATCTAGTTTTTATCTCCCACATGCGGTCGAATCATCCCAAGACATGTCACCCACAGGTCAAAAAGCCGTTTCGTCTAATAGATCGTACCAAATCGAAGAAGACGATCAACAGAAAATCAAATTTAAATCCGAGCCGTTTGATAGCGATGATGTTTCGGACGTGTCGAGTTCCGCTATCCCACTTGTTATTCACTCACGAGAAATACCTCGTCCCATGGAGGCACAAACAACGCAAAGACTTTCTATAGATATTTACGATGGGAATATATATCAGGAACACAGTAACGAAGAAACCTCATCATCCAATCAAATTTACACGGAGAACATGCGGCGTAAATATCCACGAGGCAGCAACATCAGTCATAATATCAGCATCAAATGTGAGACATCACACGTTGGCGTTCAGTGTTCATTGCCTGTCATCAAACGAGAGATGGTGGAGACTGAGGGCAGAAGGGGAGATAGAAATACTAATACCGTGCTATACAATAGGGGTGTGCAATGTGAACTCTTGACTCCACGAAGGGGTACAAACTCGCGTTCAACAAACGAACCTGGGGGCAGCGAATCACAGACATCTGACACCCGGTGCAGTCACTGCGGAATAACTTTTGACGATGAAGTGCTCTTTTCTATACATATTGGCTGCCATTCGCATACGGACCCATTTGTCTGTAATGTATGCGGCAAACAGTGCTCTAATAAATATGGGTTTTATTCCCACATCATGCGTGGTCATCAGTGCTGATCAGCTGAAGAGGTCAGATCATCTTAGTCACGGTTGGTTGGGTTCATCTTCACAATATCAACGTATTATCACTCGTTAGTTTCGTAAACCACAGGAGGACATCAGTAACCTAGGCAACCTTCGGATGTAGATTATGGTTAAGACTAGCATCCGTTTCCGGCCCATTTTTAGAGGTACGATCTACATGTCCAGCACAAAATTCAAAATGTCAGTTACTGTCAGGTATACAAATGTACTTTTAACTAAAATCATTATTTTCAGCCCTGACATATAGTTGACTACAAAAAAAATAATTTTACAATGTCTTTTCTAAAACTTTTACACAAAAAGTTGTCAATGTTATTTTTGATATTTTAAGTACATATATGTACATATCCTGCCACATGGAGATCATCAAAAATGGACAGCATTTTAAAGATTTAACATGTTACTTTTCTTCAATTTCTAAGTCATAAACTTTCGTTGAATTTAATGTTAATTTTTCAGTCTTGACTAAGATGGCTAGTCCACTTTAAGTATATTCTTATTATATTATTGTTAGGCCAGACCCAAAAATACTTTTTTCCACATTGTATATTCTTTAGACCGAATCTTTAAACACTGTTGAGTGGACGTTAAACCCCATTTCTCTCTCTCTCTCCAACCTCGTGGGTTTTCTCCGGGTCCTCCGGTTTCCTCCCACTGCTAAAGACCCCTACGCGCAAGCGAATTATTGAAATAAAATTAAAAACCATATGTTAGTCCCGAAATGACCTAGTTTGTGTCGAGTGGACGTTAAACCCCATTTCTCTCTCTCTCTGCACATTAAACACAACAATTATTTTGCAAGAATTTGGAGACGAGCTTCAAAACCAAAATGAACGATATCATCTTTACAGTGCCCTACGCTAGAAAGTTAATGACATTGTTTTGGAAACGTGTCCGAACAAGGTATAATCAATATTTTTTTAGAATCATTTGAGTAACTGGATAGAGCAATAAACTATAATTTATATTTAATATATGGAAAAACAGCTACTAACATACATGTATTTATTTGAGATTTTGAAGAGTATTCTCTAAACATTATCAAGTAATCAAATAACACACTATTTATGGATAACAATTACTATGGTTTATTTCACTGTGTCGTTTCAACAAGATTTCACAAGTCCTTATCAAGCATATAACACAGATCAACGTGTGAAATCTTGTAGTGAAATACACCATAGTAATTGTTATCCATAAATAGTGTGTTATTTGATTACGTTCCAATTACTAAATGCCATTCAAATAATATTATCAAGTAATGTTTTTCCACAAGTATGTGTTACAGTTTAAGGTATAATCAATGACAAAATGTGGAAAATAGGATTGCCTGTCTGAAAATAGGATTTCTGGTCCAGAAAATAAGATTTCAGGTCCAGAAAATGTAAGTGGAATATAATATATTTTGGTCTGGTCTATATGTTATTATTATATAGTGTTAGATATTTTGAAAGATATATTTTTGACTGTTTTGATATATGTCTGCTGTTATTTGTTATTTATATTTTGAATTAATTCAGTTTTTTTTTTAAATACTAATTATGTACTATTTAGTGTAATCTAGAATTTAGTTCATTTTAAATGTTTTTAAGTATAAGATTTACATTAATGTATATCATTATTCATATATATATTTTTTCATCTACATGTGCTAGTAAAATCAGTGTGAGTTATCTGTCCTTGTTTTAAAAATGGACACACCAGTCTCTTCATCTTTTGTAAAGTAATGAATCATACTAACATTTTTCTATACCATTTCATGTATGTAGAAGTGGCCAAACCTCCATAAAGAGATGCTGTCACTTGCTTTAGAAAACAGGACTGTGGTCATACTTACAGTGAAAGAAATTAAAGCTACCAATGAGATCGAAACCAGGTCAGACCTGAGAGTTTATAATTACCCCAGACTAATCTACGTGGTCGATGTTATTGATTGCAGTTGAATATTAACTGAACAAATTATATTTTTGACATTTATTTTCCATAACAATATATTCTGGTTCTTGCTTGTATCTGTTAAAATCTTCTGCAGGAATTGACCTTCATTCAGGCCCATAATTGGTTGAGTATAACCAACAGGAATTGGCCTGGTTTCAGGCAGATGATCAAGCATTAAATTCTTTCACTGCTCACAGTTATGTGCAATTTTCATACTTACACCTTTAATGGCAGGCAGTATTTTGTATATTTGTGTTTTTGTAGGATATTTATACTTAGATTGTCTAAAGATGCATTATGTAGGACCTAAATCTGCCTATGTCAAATGTTATATAAATCATTAATTTAACATTTATTTACATGCCCGACCCATAATCAGCTCTCTAGAACTTCGGATGGTTTTAATTTTCAACAGATTTAAATATGATTGGCTGTTAATGGTTTAATTTAAAAATGGATAATCAAGACTTTGGTTATTATGGTAGCAATGACAATCGTGACTACATTGTTCTGCAATCGATGATAACTCTGCTTAGAATGAAGTAATTTGACTGAAATTTTCAACATATTCTCTTTTCATTATCATATCTCGTTATTTTACTATTATAGCTAGAGCTGTTCGCTTTTTGTCTAAATCTTACATAATGCATCTGTTTGACTACTTAATTAAAGGAGACAGTCTGGGGGCCTGTTTCATGAAATTTTAACTAAGATAAAATCCAAATTTTAGTAATTTAATTGGATAATATTAAATTGTTTTTAGTACTTAACCAATCAAAATTGAAGTTTCCTCTTAAATTTTGGATTTTATCTTTAGTTGAAATTTCGAGAAACAGGGCCCTGGCTATCTGTTTTTCTATATTCTAACAATAGAATGATAGTTATGAAAGCATTTTGGAACCTTTGTTAATTGTAACTTCAAGGCGAGTTTGTTGATTTTCTACTCTAACACACAAATCAGTTTTGCAAATGGTTTCTAGTGTTTTGATATGAATGAAGACTTACATGAATACATCTTACAGTCACTATGTTAATTCTTTATAGATACGTTAATAACAGACTTAGAATCATCATGCATTGATAACAGACTTACATTCATCATATCTTTATACATGTAGATGCATTAATAACAGACTTACAATCATCATGCATTGATAACAGACTTAAATCATCATATCTTTATGGACTTTCATCATATCTTTATAGATACCTTAATAACAGACTTAAGATCATCATGCATTGATAACAGACTTACATTCATCATATCTTTATGGATATATGGACTTTCATCATGTCTTTCTTTATGCATGTGATACATTAATAACAGACTTACAATCATAATGTCTTTCTTTTTCATAGGATTAGTAACAGACTTACCATCATCATATCTTTATAGATACATTAATAACAATCATCATATCTTTATAGATACATTAATAACAATCATCATATCTTTATGGATACATGGACTTCCATCATATTCATGTGATACATTAATAACAGACTTACAGTCCTCATATCTTTATAAATAAACCATTAATTGTACAATAAATTGTACACAATAAAACTGTGATCTTGGAAAACAAATTAGATCTTTTTGGCCATGACAGTAATATTATATTATAGAATTAAGAAATGAGGCATAAGATCAATTCAAGTCATATCATTATATCATTGTCTTTCTGTTGTTAGAATATACAAATTTATATAATTTCTGTGTAAACCTATATTTGTATGGTTTAATGGTCGAGAGCAAGACATTTAACATGCATTATGCAAGAGTAAAATCTGCTTAATACAAGTCTTTCTTTAGGCTTGAAATGTTATCTAAATTATCAATTAGACATTAATTAACTTATCCAGACCATAATAAACTCTCAATGTCAAGGCTAGCCTTCGATGTTGGCTGGATTAGATTCCTATATGCCGCTAACGGCCATTGATAATTAAATCAGAAAAAGTGGATAATCGAGACTATGCTGTTTATAAAATGATTTTAGTAATGATGACCGAGACTATGCAAAAATTTCACCTGCTTCTTTCTCGGCTCACAGTGGATCAATTTGACTGAAATTTTCAGCAAATTACCGTTACACTATCTAGTTTTTAACTATTATAGCGAGAACTGCCATCTCTTTATCTTATCTCCCATAATGTATCTTTAAGTAATATATTGATACTGCACGAGGCATTAGCTGAGAGTTGTTTCAATATATTGTGCAATGTCTTTAACTCGAGACCAATAAACAACTTAAAATACAGACACTATCCCGCACGTGCTTTTCAATGAAATACATAACGCAAGTCCAATATTTCATCGAGTATAGATAATGAACGATTGGCAAGTTGCCCGTACATTATTGGAAATAATGGTACGCCAACATCAAAGGATGACATCACATCTGTATTTGAAGTACACATGTACATGTATTTATTGTGATTAGATTTATTTCATTGTTAAAGTCTCTGATTATCATTTGAGGATTTTGAATATTTTGAAAGCAAAAATCTCGAAAAGGAATATCATGATTCAATTTGGTTCAGATATTCTGTTTTGAAAATTTGTCAAGATTTGCATCCTCTGTAGACTGTAGACGGTATCAACTAATTACGGTCAAAACTATTTCATGTCATCCATATTTTTTCATCACAATCCGGGCTCGTGAGAGAGAAGAGGTAATGCTACCGAGACACTAGGAGAGGGGTTCACTAGTCCGTCGATATAAGAAATACTATAAATGTGGGCATCAAAAAACCTAATCCTAACCCTAACCCTGATAATAGATATTGGTGGACTAATGAACCCACGGACTAGTGCACCTTAACACTAACCCTAACCCAACCCCTATAATAGATATCGGTGGACTAATGAACTCGTGGAATGCTAACTAGTCTGCGAGTTCAGTAATCTAGGGCAGTCTGATTTATGCTGGTCATGTTCAGGACATGGAAAGTTATTGGTCGCATGCCCAGTCTTGTGGGTTTTCTCCGCTGCTCTGATTTCCTTCTATTTCTAAAGATCCCTGCATGCAAGCAAATTATTGATATATAAAAAAATACTGTTCCAGGTTAGGCCCTATGTAATAAGGTTAGTGTTGCCAGGAGACAAATCTCTCTTTCTCTCTCTCGCTCCTCACCCCCACCCCCATATTATATTATTTTGCCCAAGTGAAACAAGGATGGCTGCTATGTAATTTATACATGTAGTTGGAGGTTTATGCAAACCTGGACTTCATTATAACATTAATGAGTTGTGTTTTCATATTTTATAAGTTTTTTTATTAATGTTCTTTTTGCCTGCTAATTTTATTTGTGAACTGGTGATTGTGTTCTTGTTTAATTATATTTTAATATGACTCATGACATTTGTATAGTATGCACAGGGCTGTAAGCATTGGTTGATACAACCTTAGCTAGAGTCATACTTTATTGAAATATTGAAAATCAAAATTAAGTATCAATTTTAGAAGTAGATTGAAATTGAAGGTTATAGATAATTGTTGAATATTTGATACTTTAATTATAAAATATTGATATTAACAAGCAGTCATGAAGCTTTAAAATTTAGAAATTCAAAATTGTTTGAAGTATGACTTTACCTGAAGTAAGAATGAAGCATACAGCCCAAAGAATTTTCATTTTGAAAAATAAGCCAAAAAACCTAAATTTGTACAAGTTATTTATATATATATTATGTATGTATGTACATATATATATATTTATTTAATACGGTAATTCTGGATTGTTTTAAGGCTTAAGACCAGTGTTTAGGGGTATTTCATGCATAAAGAATATCAGCATTGTTGAAAAATAGCAATGAATCTTTTAATTCTAAGCCAAGTTATCTGGAAATTATTAGCCATGTGTATTTATATTGTAAATGGTTTCCAGTGGTTAGATTGACTTGATTTGATTGGAATCAGTATTAATAGGCTTCCTGTCTTCATTAGCCCAGTTGGAGCAGAACAGTATGATGTTAAACCCCATTTAATTTCATCAATAGGCTACTAAACTACCTTGGATAAGACTTACCATCACTATGATCATTCTTTATAGATACATTAGTAATAGACTTACAATTATTATATCTTTATAGCTACATTAATAACAGTCTTACAATCATCATATCTTTATAGATGCATTAATAACAGATTTACAATTATTATATCTTAATAGATACATTAGTAACATACTTAAAATCATTATATCTTAATAGATACATTAGTAACATACTTAAAATCATTATATCTTAATAGATACATTAGTAACATACTTACCATCATAGATTTATTATAGATACATTAATAAAAGCTTTACAATCATTATAGCTTTATGAATACATGGACTTTCAATCATAACTTGGGACACATTTACATCTGACTTACAGTCTTGATATCTTTATGGATGCATGGACTTACAATAACAGACTTACAGTCATGATATCTTAATGGATACATAGACATATAATAACAGACTTACATGGACTTACAAATCATTTTGGTATGATGTTAAACCC